CAGAACCAGTCTTATGAGAAGCAGCTGAGGGAATTGGGGCTGTTTAGTCTGAAAATGAGGCTGAGGGAAGACCTCATCACCCTCTGCAACTACCTGAAAGGAGGTTGTAAGGAGGTTGGGGCTGGTCTCTTCCCACAAGTAACTGGTGATAGAACATGAGGAAATGGCCCCCTGCTGCCCCGGAGAAGGTTTAGACTAGACAAGAGGAAGAACTTTTTCACTGAAGGGGTTGTCAGACATGGGAACATGCTGCCCAGGGAGATGGTTGAGTCACCATCCCTGGATGTGTTTAAAAGCTGTCTAGATGTGGCCCCCGGGAATATGGCTTAGAGCTGGACTTGGTGAAGTAGGGCCAATGGCTGGACTCAATGATTTAAGGTCTTTTCCAACCTATAGGATTCTATCACACTATGATAAGCCTGATAGCACATGACAGGAAATCTCACAAACAGAAAAAAAGTTTACAACAAAACAGACACTATTCTTAAATTGCAGGACCACGGATCCCACCCAGTCCCAAGCAACACACCCAGAACAATCACACTGCAGCTCAGGGTGTTTTCGAGTCTTTGAAGGAGCATCTGCTTCAACTAATGTTTTCTCCATTAATAACCAGAACAAGCTGCAGTAATTCACAGAACAGCACACTGCCTTGGCAACAAATTAAGACCATTAATTTCATACAGTGATGAAGTTGCCAGAAAATATCACATGAATTGGGTTTTTATGTATGGTCTGTTCCCCACAACCAGAATACTTTCTCATGGAAAACACTAGATCTCTATGGAAATAGCAATACCAAATAGTCTAGCAAAATTTAATATGTAACAGTTAAATTGTTTTGTTTTGGTTTTGATTTGTTTTGTTTTTTCTCCTTTAAATGGAAAAAGCTCTTCATCATCAAACCCAGATGGAAAGTTAGTGTAAAGTGTTTATTCCAATTTATCACAGCCATACACACATGTGCACTTACTAAAGGACACACACTGTCCACCACAAATTTCTATAAAATTGCTCAATCATCATAACCCTCAGCTCATTGGTCACAGCTGGAAAGCCTGTTCTTTTTAATAACCAATTCAATAAACTGTTGAAAAATGCTTTGTGTAATATAGTATTGCCATAGATCCGATGTTTGTCTCTGTCATTACATATTGCATTCAATCTATTTACAAATGCTGCTGTGTTCCTTGTGTGCTCATAGTTCTTACAGCATCCTGAACACAAATCCAAAGATCAATACCTTGTCTACTGAAAAAAAAATTGGACATAACAAATGAATAATTTTATTTATAATAAAAGTCATAGTCCCCAAATGGATTCTACTAGTGCTCAAATTCATTTTTCTTGTTTAACACAAGATGAAAGCAAGTATCCTGCACAATGCAATGAGAAAAAGCAGTGATTAAAAAAACAAAACACAAAACAGTTTATATTTATTGAAGATGTGAACAAAACCACGTAAAGCTACGGCGACGAAAACGTCAATAAAATGCTAAGTCATTCACAAAGTATTTGTTACCATATTAAAGAGCAAAAAGTCCCTGTCAAGCAGGAGATGGATTTTCTTTAAAAAGACACTACAGTTCTGCTCCGAATTACGGGAGTAGCAAGGCTCTGAATGAAACAACTTGAGTTTGAAGGCAAGTAAGACCTCAGCTCATGCTTGTTGCATGAGCCGATTCAATTAATCTTTTGCCTTTTGTGGGACAGAAACAATGCACGTGCTGGCTATGGACACATCCCTGTACTACTCCAGCTACTCAACAGCTACCTCTAAAATGATGATGTTGTTCAAGGGAGCCACAAACGACTTCTTGATCTCTCTTTGCAGAGCAGCAAGCAAACAGAACTTAGAGGAAATAGCAATACTACATTTCACAGAAAATGGTACTGGTACCTGGATAAACATACAAATCCCAGCAACCTGACACAATAACCAGCTCACCTCCTCCCCCCGACACCCAAGCTAACTGCTCAGATGTGCACTACATACAGTATTCCCACCTAGGCTCTTGGCTCCATAGCAATTCCAGCCATTAGCAAAACAGTATCATATAATTTCTGTACAAACCAGAAAACATAAAATGCATAACTAAAAAACAGCCCCCAACCCAGTACCTCATTAATCGACTGTCCCCAGCATTATGTGCCTGGCTGTTCTGAAATAAGACAGACAAGGAGAAGGGGAAGGGAAGCCCCATCCTCCCCTTTGAACTCTATGCAAGAACAGAGCAGGTCCACACTCCTCTTTTTGTCATGGCAGCTGGGTGACTTGTTGTCTTCAGACAGACTGTGGTCAGACACTTCTGAGCCTTAATGATTTTCCTATCAGGACATAGCAAAGGGACTAGCTGTCCTGAGGGGAACACACACTAATCCTGAACACTGACCACATGCAGCTCTCCCTCTCCATTTGTCTGTGCCAAAAGAGGTGAATGAATTTGCTACTACTGTCAAACACGTGCATATTTTAGGTTACACAGTAGAGGTCCCAGTTGTTGCTAGATATCCCTTACTCAATACTAAGAACCCAGTTACTTTTTAGTCAAGAATCTGAAATAATCACATCTTCACTCAAAGGGATCCTAGGACAAACAGGTTCCCAGGTCCACAAACTAGCATGGATCTATTACTCAGATGTCTAATGCTGAGGCAATTGAAGCAGCTTTCTCCAGGAATAGGGGAACTATTTCCTTGCCAGGAATATTACGGTTTTGCTATTCCTACTGCTGGTTACAATTAAACACAGTTTGATTTTCAAGCGTCAAACTGAAGTCACAGGACGGGCAGCTGAAAATATTTTTTAAAAACCACAACAACACCCCACAATACCCCCGCAAAAAACCCAACTTTTTAAGGTGTTAACTGATGGGCAGCTGAAAATATTTTTTAAAAACAACACACAACAACACCCCACAATATCCCCCCAAAAAACCCAACTTTTTAAGGTGTTAACTGAAAAATGATGCTTTGGCATTGCTCAAATCATGAGCATTGAACTCCATTAGACAATTTTAACTGATCTTGCTCCAGAGAATAGCTTTATTTCATAACTATTACAGCAAATTCAAAACTCCAATCCTACGTTCTGTTTCAAGATGGAATTTCAACCTTACTAGTTAATTAAAGCCACCACCTGGAGTGAGCTGGCTTTCAAACTGATTTCCTTTGTCTCTCTAATTCATACACATTAATATTTTATTTTATACTGGAGAAAAAAAAAAAAAAAGAAAGAAAGAAAAAAGAAAAGGAATGTCATAATTGTGCCAAAGACAAGGCAGATAAAATTATTGCAATAAAGCAAAAATACACTTGTTACTACCAGGTCTTGAGATGAATGCTGCATTATACAGACATTTTAAAGGCTTACAACTGCAAATTGCTCTATTTTACATACTGTATTCCAGCCTTTGCATCAAGACCTTCTCTAATTTTTTCTTATTGTAACGAGGAAGGGAAAGGGTTAGGTTTTTGTTACCTGAACATTTATTCAATGGAGAAATAAAGACTACATTATATATTACATCACATGAGCTATTAAAACAATGTGACACTATAAAATATGCTGCAATGCTCATTATGGGATAACAAAGCTAAACCTAAGCAAATAAATGTATCTGCCAAACAGCAGTACCTATGCAACTACTGTTTATAATTTTTAATTATTTAAGAAGGAAAGAAGCCTGTAATAATTAAGTTTTACAGTCTGCTTAAACTGTCATTACTACATGCTCATAAAACTTTAAACCAATTATCTTCAATCTGAAATAACTTTACTTTAAACAACAGATGTAATAGTTCACTTAATTGATTAACTGAAAAAAATAATTACCTATTGTTGTCAAAACTTCCAGGAACAGTACAGATAACATTATAATTACTCTCTGATGTGGACAATGCATATACCAATGTAACAGGTGATAGAACATGAGGAAGTGGCCTCAGGTTGTGCTAGGGAAGGTTTAGATTTGATATTAGGAAACAAATTCTTCACCAAACAGGTTCTCAGGCACTGGAATGGGTCTATATAATGAAGATGTACAATTATAACATAGAGAAGTGATAGGAAAAGAGGAAGGCTGCATATTTCAGAAGAAACATGGCTTAAAAAAATATGTTCACGTTTACTAAATTTAAATTACATATTAAATTATGAAAGAAACAACATAAAACTAAAGAAGAACAGGGAAGCTTTCAAAAAACTCCAGAGGATTTTCTTATTTTGCCAAAACACATCCAGCCATTGCCTGAGCTCCTAATAAAATATTACCATGGACCTCTATGGAAAAGAATTATTTCAGAAAAAGTTCTACTTCCAGTCACTGAAACCAGCACAAGTTACACAACAGCAGAGTATTGACTAGAAAATATTATGCCACACTACACAATCCAACAAATAGGTACCTTTCCTATCTTGGAGAATCAAGTTCCTGTACGGTTTCTAAATTGAGAATTTTACTTAGAACATGGGGCTTCATTTTTTCCTCAGAAAATATGTGCACTATACAGATGGTTTATTTAATCCGTTCCTACCTAAATTAATCAAAGCAATCTGTCCCAAAAAAATAAAGAGTCTTCAAACAGGGTTCTGCTGCCATTTGACAAATTGTGTACCTTTAGCTAGGAGAAGCTGAAAATCTTCCATTAAAGAAAAATAAGTGACATTATTAAAAGGGAAGTAGGATGTGTTATTTAGCATAATATGAAATTTAAACAGTACCATCTCAGATACACTTTAAAACACTTTTAGCAGCACCTGGCTGTTTATACAACTTCTGTGGTGAAAAGGTCAATAGAAATTCACCTCTAAGGTCACAGTTGCTAAGCAACTGTTTTCGGCAGTTCTGCAACACCGATCAAGCGCATCACGTTCCACTGCCTGGTTTCAGAATAAAGCCATGTGGGATCCTACCTGGTCTTTGAAGTAGCTCCTGAGCTCCTCCTGCTTTCCCCGAGAGAGCTGATGCCCATGGTCAAGGAGCTGTTCAAAAGGATACGTCCTGGGACCACTGGCTTCCGGTTGACGAGAGCAAAGGAGAGCTCTGTCTTCAGGAAGACCACGGAGGGTTTGATGAGGTGCTGCCCGAATCTCAGCATGATAAATGTTAATCTTCAGGGTCTGAAAGAGACAATAGTTAAGGGTAATAAAGGGACTGACTTTGCCTTTCCAGCCAACCAAATTGTCTAGGCAGTTTCTGAAAGAATGTGCCTCCTGGGCTCAGCAAGGCATTGGGTGTTTTGAAAAGGCTGTTGAGGCTTTCCTAAAAGTATGACTTTGAAAGGGTGGTGGAAAGGGCTGCTTTCCAAAGCAAAAACTTACATATAATTTCTTAAACCCTTTTCCCATCATCTTGGCATGGCTACAAAATTCTAGAAAGGGAAGGCAATTTCTCCCCCCCAGTTTCATTTGTTCTGCAGTGGGTACATTTGAGTCATACATCCACGGAGAAGCACAAAGAGTTATTTCACATGGCCTTTGCCTAATGCAAATCAATGTACACAGGACCTATGAAATAAAGACAACACATTGTCTAAACCCAGTCATACATCCACAGAGAAGCACAAAGAGTATTTCATATGCCCTTTGCCTAATGCAAATCAATGAAATAAAGATCTATGAAATAAAGACAACACATTGTCTAAACCTCTCCACTAAATACCTCAATTGAAAAATAGTGACAAATTAAGTGTACGTTATCATTTTCCATCCACGCTTTCTAGTTTGCGCAACATTTTCTAGTTTTCTAGTTGTGTGCAACGTTTGCTCTTATGTAAAGAAAGCCAAAGATTTCCACTTATCATTGCTACAATTTTCTCTCCTGGTGAGAATGAAAATCCTTCTTAAATAACTAAGACACAATCCTAACAGGTTCAATTTTAGGTCTTTAAGCTCTCGAGTTTTTTAAGTACTTAAATTCAATCAGAAATATCCAAGGTGCTGCAGGGTAAAATATGAAGTAGTGAAGAACTTCATGTGACACATTACTTCAGAAACAACAAAAGCCCTACACTAACATTACGTTGCTTGAACGAAGTGAGAAATAAGAAAATTCAGTTTTATAAGTTGCTTCAGATGGGGAAAGATACTGTTGAAGTTATGTAGTGTCTTTTGCTGCAGTTCTTTTGTTGCAAGCCTCTTGTGTTTAGTACGACTCAAACTTGGTTCTTAATCTAAAAGATTTATTCTAATTTCAGGTCCCACTCCTGGTATCTGTTCCAAGAAAAATATATGTAACAACTCTGAATGTACAGGCTTTGAAAGTGCTTTTGAGAAGTGTTTGTCCTCTGGAAGGAAGTTCTGTCTTTTTCATCTATCTGATTTCACAAAAGAACTAAACTAAACTAAGGCTAGCATTTATTCTGACTTCCAGGCTACTGATAATTAAAAGCACTATCCAGAGACATGGAATAGAGACTTAAACTCAGAACCAAGACTTTGAAGGAACAGATGCTGATTTTAAGACCTTATGCTTTGAAATTTGCTATAAGAGAAGCCAAGATTTTGGTAAACCATATGCAAAAAAAACCAATAAAAAAATAGCAGAATAAGGTCAGTGAAAGGTTGAGTAACTAAAAATATGTGACTGCACAGAAAAACACTGCAGCAAGGCTAGAATATTCCAGAGTGCAGTGAGGCAGGAAACTGCTACAAGCAGAGTAAGTTTTCAGTCATCTGAATTCTACCTCCTTATTGCTTGACTGGCCTGTAAACAAGCAGAAATCAATACAGCACAGGTGCATGCATGCTGGTCATGAGATGCAAATCATGTGTGCACAAGGCTTCCCAGCTGATTGGAATCACCTCACTAAGTCTGTTCCCCCAGGGATTTCCATTTTTCACATAATGAGGAGGTCATTACCAGCTAAAACAGAAATTAAATATAATTGGTGAAAGATGTTTCTTCTTTAATGATAGTAGTCTTTCTAATCCCAGTAATAAGGAGGACAATTAGATAGTAATGTTAGAAAATGAAGGAAATCCATTTTTGGTAAAAGAAAATTTCAGGCCTGTTTAACACACTTTCTATTCTGACTATTCAGATGAAAAGTGTATTTACTCTTCTTCATATTGCACATATGCATTACATTGCCTATTTCATCTGCCTCATTTTCCTAATTAAATTTCCTTCAAGCTGCATTCCTGTAGTTGTAGGTGTGAACATAGTGTGAAAGGCTAGCATAGCAAGCAGACTAATTTTACAGCTACAATAGATAACAAATCTGTATAACTAGAAAAAAAATAAATAACCCACACTACACTGGAATTCTACATTATCCCTTGAGAAATAAGAGTGCTAATGTTAGAGAAAAATGTTGAGATACACTGAAATATTTTTAACGATTATTACAGTTTTGTAAAATGTCAAGAATAGACACATTGCATTTGCCCAGCCTATATAAATTACTGCTCATACGTTTTATCTATTTAAGAGGAATTCTAATCACAGGCCTCAGTTCTCCAAGTTTATTTAGTTGGGGGAGGCTAGGGGTGTTGATTTGTGCTTAATTTTCTAAAAAGCAGAATTTCACAGAATCACAGAATGGTAGGGGTTGGAAAGGACCTCTGGAGATCATTAAGTCCAACACCCCTGCCAGAGCAGGGCCACCATAGAATCTAAGGTAGGTTACTCAGAAACACATCCAGACTTGAAAGCCTCTAGAGAAGGAGACTCCACAACCTCTCGGGACAGTCTGTTCCAGATAACCTTTACAGTAAAGAAGTTTTTTCCTCATCTTGAGGTGGAGCTTCCTGTGCTCTAGTTTCCACCCATTGTCCCTCATTCTAGCAATGGGCATGACTGAAAAGAGATGGGCCCCTCCCTCTTGACACTCACCCTTCAGATATTTGTATACATTAATAAGATCCCCTCTCAGTCTTCTCTAGACTAAAAAGCAGCAGGTCTTTCAGCCTTTCCTCATAAGACAGGTGTTCCAGTCCCTTAATCATCCTTGTAGCTTCTGTTGGACTCTCTCAAGTAAATTCCTGTCCCTCTTGAACTGGGGAGCCCAGAACTGGGCACAATACTCTAGGTGGGATCTCACTAGGGCAGAGTAGAAGGGGAGGAGAACCTCCCTCTACCTGTTGGACATGCTCTTCTTAATGCACCCCAAGATACCATTGGCCTTCTTGCCCACCAGGGCACATTGCTGCCCCATGGATAACTTGTCCACCAGGACTCCAGGTTCCTTCTCCACAGAGCTGCTTTCTAGCAGGTCAGCTCCTATAACCTGTACTGGTGCATGTTGTTGTTGTTTTCCAGGTGGAGGACCTAACGCTTATTCTTGTTGAGCCTCATTAGGTTCCTCTTTGCCCAGCTCTTCAGTCTGTCCAAATCTTGCTGAATGACCACACAAGCTTTCTGGTGAATCAGCCAATCCTCCCAGCTTTGAATCATCAGCAAACTTGCTGAGGATATTTGTGTCAAATACACAGGGAGAACTCTGAGCAGAAAATAAGGTTCACCTAAAGACAGGTGAACCTAAAGACATCAAGATAGGTGTCTACGTGCTCTGTGTCATCTCCAGAGTCAGAGACCAATCGTCTGGAATACCATTGGAAATTACTTTCTCTGTATTGGCTATAAGGAGTGATGGCACTAATACTTTAAGGCTGTCTTCCTGCCTCCTCAGACCTCCTCAGTGGCTGCTTAATTGAGGTGGTGCTGGTGCTCCAAAATGCCCTTGTATTTTATCATACAATTATTTGACCTTAACAACAAAGTGTTGAGGTGACCACCCTCTGGGAGCTGAGCAATCACGGGTAAAGCTACAAATCTGCTTGTAACAAGAGAACACAAGATAATGCCAAATGGGCTGCTAACATAAAATGTGTATATTACAGAAACCCAATTACAATACCATTACCTCTCTGTGCTAATGTGAATATTTTAGAAACAATCCAAGGAGATTTCTCGAATAGTAAAGCTCGATATTTTACCCTATTAATATCACCTGTTCATTAATTTTGACACTCCTGATTCTGCTACTCCATTTCACTGTAAAAACACTGCAAAGTAATATGGCAAAAAGCAAATGATTTAGTTAAAGGTCTTAAAAAATATTTTTTTTTTCAATTCAGCAAGATCAGACAACTTGTGTCACACACTGTAGTAGTCAAGGGAACAAAGAAACTCTCCAATAAATTATTTTTATGGCTAACTTCAGAATTTTCCAGCACGTTTGCTAACCTGCTGTTTATCCTACAAAACTATCTCCTTAAATGTATTTTTGGCATTTTTGCCTCTAAAAGGTTTGATTGTATGGAAAGTGATATTCCTATTTAAACACGTGACTTCTGCACCATATTCAAGAAGTGATGTACAATGAAGAACTGCCCTGCATGCTGTCTCCTTTCTCTTCTTCCCACTTTATTATTTTACACTCATTCCCTCCCCTCACTACCATTTTGTGAGGATGAAATCTATACAATTCTGAATATTACTTATTTAACCCAAGCACATAACACCCTGTCCCTAGCAGTCAGGATTTGCTATTTTGATCAAAGAAGACTTAAAAACATTAATGCAAAGAAATAATTTTATTCTAAAATTGCTCAGGTTTTTACTAGCCCTTTGTCCCTGAAGTGGCTTTATCTCTCACCATCCTCCACTCCCACCCTCGTACAAGATTTAACTACGTATTTTGAGCTCCTCCAGTTTCAGAAAACAGCTTCTAATTAAAAAAAACCCAAACCCTCTCCCTTTCAGTGACCCAAAATATACCACACTACTGCTATTTCTGTTCTGAAAAAAGCCAAGAATTGCAAAACTAGAAAAGGTGCTCACGTATCTTTGACAGCCATAGCCTAGATTCTCTCCATGGGGGTGGTATTTAGTGTTCTACACAGGGTTGAAGGGAAAAGCTTGTGTGGATTCTTTTCCATTTTTACCACCCACAGAAGCTACTGAACTGAAATCCATTATATATGATGCATACAACCAATCGTGGTGGTGTTGACAAAGACCAACTTCTCATATCTTATGCAGATTACAATGGACTTGAATCCACAACATGTGAGTTCCCCTGTTTAATCTAGCAGCCAAGAAAGCATCAAAATTATTACTGTTTAAATATATTGCCATTTTCTTAGCATGGAT